TTATCAGTCAATGTGAATTTTTCTTAATCATGCTTGTTACAGATTACTGGTGATAAGCAAGGTGCTGTATTTGGTGGGTTGCTTGAGGCACCACTCAAGCCTACCGCGAAGAGGAAGTACCAAGTAAATTTTCTTCTCTCCTTTTATATGACACAAGTGATAATAGCCAGTATTGACTATCTTTAATCAATCCAAACTAAAGGTAAACTAATATTCGGACTCCAAACCACCATCTTTTGTTGTCTAGTTTTAAACACCCTTCCGCAAGAAGAAACAGTGTATATTCTTAGCAATCACGTAAAACAGTTTGAAAGGTGCTGTATTTGGTGTGTTGCTTGAGGCACCACTTAAGCCAACTGTGAAGTGAAAGTACCAAGTAATATTTCTTTTCTCCTTGACATGTGACAATACCGCATATTCATTTTCTTTAATCAATTTGAACTAATGGAGTAATGGTAAACTATTATTCAAAGAACAGATTACCAGCTTTGTTCTTTAGTGTTACCCTTGGTAATGTTGCTAAGTCAAACACCATTCCGCAAGAAGAAATATTCTATATTATTAGTAGTCACGTAAACATTTGAAACAAGTAGTTATTTTTTGCCTTTTTCATCCTAACCGACCTCTCTCTTCTTTTTTTTTTCTTATATGTTTATTTCCAATGCTAAGGTACCTTTGTTCTATGATTATGACAGGGAACAATTCAAACATTTGTATTCACAACTGTATATGGTGAACCAAGACTATTTAGACCTACGGGTAAGTATATCACCTGGCTACTATATAAGTCCTTAAAAAGCAGTGGCTGAAAAATTTCCTCTAAGGAAGTTGAGGAATTCTAACATAATATCTGTTTAATGTACATTTTCCATTATATACTAAAGTAAAAGAGATTATATTGGTTTAGTATGTAAGTATATAAGATTTTCTCCAACATTCATATATACTGATCATGTAGCTGTAGGCTTGTTGTTTGATACTGCTCGAGCTTGACACCTGTTAATACACCCTCCC